GACTTTTTAGTACATGCAATGACATCTGCCAGAATTCTTTGAGCTTTTTCCCCTAGCACTACACTATTGCAGGGTATCTTTCAACTCTTTAGCAGCTGTAGAGTATAAATTGCAAAATAAACCATTACTATCTTTCATCAGAAGGGTCAGAACAGTCTTAAAAGTCTAGAAAAAACTGTCTGGTAAATATCACTGTCTTCCCTTCAAGATACAAAGGAAGTACTTTTATTAAACTTGCAAACACTACTACAAACTGACAACTTGCATATGTTACAAGTGTCCCCTACACAACCACAGAACAAATAACTTTCACATTCATTAATCTCCAAGCTCCTTTCTAAATCAAACCTTGTCAAACACATCGATACATAAATACATTAATATCTGTGGCAAGCTTGAATCTCTCAATAAAGGCTGGCTTACAAACTTTTAGAGCTCTCACTCAAAGATGTCAAAATAGCTCCCTGTTCTCACAAAGAAAATGTTACTTCAGCTTTGTAAAAATGAGAAAGTTTTTGCAAAAACTTCTGTACCAAAGTGCACTAGGCTCAGGTTTTGGAGGCCTTATCTGTTCTAACCATAACTGCCAGAGGATGAAATTCTCTTCCACAGAAACAATCAGCCAACCAAGAGAAGCCAGCCAGTACTACAATTTGCATTTCTCACATGTTGAACCATAAAAAATCCATATGACATTACTCAAATCCTTATGCCAAAATCAATTTTACACCGCAAGAATAGTTTCGCTATTGGTTGAATCAAAACTTGTTGTTTCAGCAGCCTCTCACCATTTACAATCATACACATTTTCAACAAAACAAAGGAAGATTCTATGGGAATATGGATAACCCAGACAAAAAATTAAAAATGTAGCCTGCTACTAGAGTAAAAAAAAAAAAATCAACAAAAAATGAAGAAGGGATGCAGAAAAGATGGAAAGCAGAAGCTTTAAATAGATGAAGCTCCATTTACAACACTTACAAACAAATATGCACCATGATGCAGAAATACTGTAACAAACAACTGTAAAGAGCAGGTTTTCATCTTGGGGAATTAAGATACAACTGGCTTGGACAAGAAAGGAAACAGCTTATTTAACTGTAGTCATGCTACTGGTATTCTTCAGTCTTCCTGCTTGTGTGAGGAGAATGACTAAGTACAAAATCAACTAAACAGGGCTGCAATAAAACTGCCACAGTGTATTCAAAGCTTACTAATAGCCAGTAAAGTCTCCAGGTTCAGGAAAAGAGGAAAAAAAATATCTCAGAGAAAAAACACTAAAGCAGAAAAAAATGTTACACAGGCCACTCTGTCTATCTACCTATACCCACCTCAACTGCTGGCAGATTATTTTCTGATTATTACAGGTAACTGACTCTCAGCTCTGGGACTGCTGATGCTTTTCTCTTCTGGCTTGATTGCAACATGGATAGCAATACTCCCTTGCCCCACGTAGTTTTACACTGAATTTACCATAAGTCTTTGAGATACTAACAGAGTGCCCCACACCCCGTTAAGAACACTGCCTTTCACCCCATGTACTTTTTTTGTCTTAAAAACCTTCACCCGCTTTCCCCACAGCACAACACACCGCAAACTTACATCACTGCTATTTCAGTAACACTGCTTCCAAGAACAGAGTAAACCAGAAAAGCCAGATGTGACTCTTGGCCATGCTCACCATGTTTTATCGGCGATTGCCGCTCCCGGAACAGAACATTTGAGGTCCGCGTGAAAGACAAAGGAGGCGTGTGCGCATCCCGCTCCCTCGTTACCGGGGCTGGATCCTGCCAAGCGACAGAGGAGGAAGCTGCCCACCGACCCGACTCCGCTCCTCCGGGGACCCCTCGCTCTCCGCCCAGCCCCGCCGGGCCCGGGGAAGGGCAGGGCAGGGCAGGGCAGGGCAGG